CTTGATCTCGAAGATAGCTGAGGTGTTATCTTTGTTGGAATAAGTTTCATGAACAGCATCCCAAATCTCCTTCGCTGTCTGGTAGTACATGAAATTCTCCCATGTTTCATTCGTCATTGAATTTAGCAGCCAGGACATCACCATGTTATTTTCCACCTTTGGGCTCGTCTCCTCAGGTTGTACGGCAGCTCCAGTTAGGTAATCTTCTTTAACTTTTCCACAAACGAAAATCATGACAGAATGGGACCATTGATTGAAGTTGTGACCGGTAAGTTTATGACCGGTGATGAGAAAAGTTCCCCCTTCGGATACATTGATAGGTTGGGTAATCAAAGGAGAGTTCTGAGCTTTAGGGCATGAGGTTTCACTCTCAACCTCACTTGCCATTGTGGCTCTAGGGTATTTTGTCACGGTGGAAACACTCAGAGATATGGTAAAAAAGAATGGTCCAGATCGAGCTCTGATACCATGTAGAAATTTAGGAGAAATTGTTCTAAGTTTTTATTCTCCAGAAGGACATCTTAATTACATGAGGCCTCTGGCCTTTTATAGCTGCTCGTCCAGCTAATTATTTTGTGCTAACTACCGAAGCAAAAAGCCAGATATACTAGCCATAAATCTGGTTAGTATCTGCTGGTTGAAACAAAAAAATATTAACAGCACCCTAAAACTTAGGAAACAAATTCCTTAAAGCTAACAAACAAAATCCTGAAAATCTGGAAAAATAACCGAACTTCTGCTGCTAACTAAAAAATCCGGTTCTGGTTTTCAACAAACACCATTGAAACGAAAGCCATGATTGGAGGATAACTATATCTTCAGCCAAGATATGCAGGATCACAAGCCAAAGAAAGAAAGTGGCCAGTCAACAAGTGAAATACTTGACCAAAAAAAAAATTGAAATACAACAAATAGCTTATTGAAGCAAAGTAACTAAGAAGCCACTTAATTGTATTGAACATTTTCTCTACAAGCGATACGACAATTGAAGCAAACTACCGCTGCAACAAAACGCGACATAAGTTCATCCCGGTTCAATGCAGTCTACAAACCGACTCTAGATACTTTTTCTTCCACAAAGGCCCCCACGACTATTCTGCCATCCTGAACTGCATGGCTTTCAACTTCAGTCTTCAAGCCCATCTTTCATGACAAAGGGTCCATTAGTAATTTTCTATTGCCTGATTTTATTCTACCCATTTTCTTACGAAAAAACTGTTAACTGTTGACGAGGACAATTGGTTTGCCCTTTTATGAGCACGCGCCATTATTGACACTTTGTACTTCCCCTCCAAGCCCAAAAACTTGCAACTTCTGCCTTTGGAGTATTTTTTTTTTTCCACCTTGTTGATCTCTGTGGATTTCACTCATATCAATGAGCAAGGGCCATTTTGTTACAGAACTTTGTACTTCCCCTCCAAGCCCAAAAACTTGCAACTTCTGCTTCTAGAGTATTTAATCCACCTTGCTGATATCTGTGGATTTCTTTCATATCTCTTCCCTCCACGACCCCCCCGCGCAGGATTTCCTTTTATTGTAAGGAGAGTTAGACTTTAATATTCCTCCTACTAAGGGAGATCAGGTATAGACTAAACAAGTTGAGCACTACCAGATTTGTGAATTTTATTCTGCTGCTCTAACCACGAATTAAAGTTTTGATAAGGCAACAAAACATACTAGCAGGTTACCTATTTATTCTTCTGCCAACCAATACTAAACCACAAGCCAAAGACATAAGTAATGACATAACTATATCATCAAATTAGAAAGCATAAGTAATTAAAGAGCCACTTGCTCATATACCAGTAATTGCTGGGTAAACCATATGATTCTATATGACAGTTACGTACCCTTTCTCATTGTAAACTTGTTATTGATCTGATTCACCACAGCCAAACTAAACTGGGCGTATCGGCTCCATCCGTACGGCAGTATTGCTGAATCTGCTACATTTAAATATATTGATAAGTGGTCCACATTGTTTCCTTTTGGGAAAATAAGTATCCGCCTGTGGAGAGCAATCTAGTTAGTACAAAATACCATCGACCACTAAGGCTCTATTTGTTTCGCGGAAAATATAACATTTCTAGAAAATGTTTTCCAAGAAGGAAAATGACAATATTTTCCGGTATTCGGCTGAAACTTGCTATTTGGTATGGATGATTTTCTTCCGTACACTCCTTTTAATAATATTTTTTTATTCTTTTCTTTTCTTTTATTAAAAAATCGAATTTTGTATTATTATTTTTTCTTTTCTTTTCTTCTTTTTCTTTTTCTTTTCCTTTTTTTTCTTTTTCCTTATTCATGGGCCGGTCGCCGGCCATGGTAACGGCCGGCGAGGCTCGATCCTCCAGACTGGCAAGCTTGGGCCTCGCTGGCCTCTGGTGAGGCTCGAGCTCGCCTTTGGCCGGTCGCTGGCCAATGAAGAAGAAAAGAAAAAATATAATAAAAAAAACGAAAAAAAAAATTAAAAACATTCTTTTTTAAAAAGAAAAGGAAATTTTAAAAAGAAAAAATAAAAATAAGAGGAAAAGGTGTTTGGTGAAAAAAATGTTTGGTCAAGAAAGAGGATGGAAAATGTTTTCCCGTGTTTTATCCATTAGCGAAAAATATTTTTCTTGATTAGTTTATTTCCCATTAACCAAGCGCCGAAATTCGGAAAATATTTTCCTAGAAGTTATTTTTTTCGCGAAAAGAAAAAACTAACGGGAGCCCTAAAGTATCATCTCAAAATCATAAAATCACGGGGGGCACCGGGACAATTTCAATAAGCAGAGCCAAATTACCATTTGGAGCGGCCCACAACAAAAACCTCAGAATAATGCTTCCCCACCTTCAACCCAGCGAAGTTGTCGATTCTCCACTTGAGCTTCATCGAAGGAGGAGGGTCCTCCGGTTGGCTGATCCTCCGCCGCCGCCGCGCCGCCGGTGGCATCCGCTCGCGCCGCGCCTAAAACACTCCGGGAAAAAACCAATCAAACCCACCCGCATTACTCAACTAGACTAGCAGCATCCGCGCGCGAAATTCCCCCTCCCCCTACCGCCAACCGCAGCAGCGCCCACAAGGGAAACCCAGAAAAACGCTACGAGAAGCGAAGCGGCAGAAACGCTTTACCTTCCATCGGCCGAGCGCCGCCCTCGGCGACCGAATCGGGACGCGGGACCAGCATCATCTCTTCGTCCTCGTACTGCAAACAACGCGGAGCAAAAAGAAAACGACCCGTGAATCCTTGACGAAGGAGGAACTCGAGATTCTACGGATGGGCCAGCGCCGGAGAACCAGCGACGGTAGCGGAAAAGAAAGAGACGGAGGCGGCGATTACATCCATGGATCGTGATAGACCAAGCGGAGAGGAAGCGACCGCAGGGAGAGAAGATGGAAAGGACGACGGAAGGGGAAAGGAGAAAGGGAGCGTCGCGCGAAGAGAACCGCGTGGCTCGGGAGTTCCCGGGGGGGGGTTTTGCGGGAAGGCGAAGGGTAAGATTGTAATTGCGCGGTGGCTCTCTCCTCCGGCTGGGTGAAAAGCAGCAGGAATCCCCTGGTGCTTTCTTGATCTGACGTTTCCGCCTTCCTTTTTCTTTTCTTTGCTTTTTCTTAATGAAAGCACCAAAGCATCTTTGAAAATGCTTGCGTGTTACCTTACACGGCGATTAGAGACATTTTGAAAAGCATATAATTCTTAAAGTTTTAAGGAAAAAAATTAGAAATCTTAAAAAGGGAAAGAAGGAAGAAGAAAATCGAGCTTTTGGGTTCGAGGGAGAGTAGCTCTGTTAGAAGCGCCTCCACCTCCGTCGTCGCCGGTGCACCGTTGAGGTCCCAGCTGACATAGATATAAACCCCAACCTTTCTGTTGAATAAGGAAATCGTGATCTCGCGCGTGTGCGTGGCGCCTGAACTAGGCGAAGTCGTGGCCCTCGCTAGTTTCCAGCAAGGTCGACCATGACCTAGCCGCTTGCCGGCAAGGACCACTCCGGGTAAACTTATTGCACTGCTAAGATTTAGTAAATATGTAAGCTACCGACTTTAGTGGTAAGATCTTATCGGTAATGTCAAATTTCTAGACAACTCGATAACATATCAGGAACTAGAAACTTACTAGTGGAATTAGTGACCTACGGATACATGCTAGCATTTGGAGGAGCAATGTAGCAACCAATTAACCAAGTGAAGATATTATCAATGGCAAATGCTAAACAACTTGATAATTTACTATTGACTTAGAACTTAAACTTTGGTAATTTCCTTACTTGGTTAGTAACATGCTGCCCAAAAAACGAACCTACACTAAGATAGTGAGTTACTAATTTGTCTAGTACCTTTCTAAGTTCAATGGTAAGTTTCTATTTCCAATGATTTTTTTTTTCAAATTGTTTGGTATTTTATTGTGGGATTTGGTGTTGGTAAATTCATCAGATTGTTTTTAACTTACTATAGAAAAGCAGGCATTTTACTTCGTTTGAAGTTACTTGGGTTCGATGTTATTTTGAAATAACAAATTCCTTACGTTGTGGGTAACTTACTAACTTGTAAATGAACTTCTATTGGGAAGTCAATAATTCTAATGTAACTTACTAATTACACTGGTAAGTTTTTGTTTTCAACGGTGAATTTTTACAGAAAATAGATGAATTCCATTCTACTTGAAGTACATTTGTTACTCTATTTATAAGCAACCTATAGTAGTAAGATCTTAGTTTCACGGCTAAAATTTTGTTTGGAGAGATAAATTTCTACAAAAATAATCACTTATCATTTCATGCAATGTTCGTAAGTTGCCAACACTGTTAATATAATACTCGACATATCTATCGAACACGTCGCCTACTAAGCGGCAGTTACGCAATACTAACAAGACTTCAATTTTGTTGACAACGTTACAGAATTGCCATCACCGAAAATTGTTCTCGTTTTGCCCAAACGGAACATTATTCTCTGAATGAAAGTGATATCAGTGACTTGCATAAGGACATGAGTGTGAAATGCTCGTGGTAGGAGAGTATCGAAATCTTTCTGCAGTACATGTACATGGATAAAAGAAGATCGTCGGTCTCAACTTCAGAGAGAAAACCACAGAAGCATCAATAGGCTTACAAACCTCTGATGAAATAACCGAAAGAAAACCACAGGATGGGAAATTCGAAGCGTATAAAAGCACAGCAGATGTGGTGACTCCTACAAAAAATCATCAGAAGGTGACTGTTTCTCAATGGCACAGGATTTCACCACTCAAACCACTTAACAGTTCCGACCAACAAAAAAGAAAAACCACTAAATAGCAAGAGATTTCACACAGACAGTTCTATTCACATGAGCAATCCATTTGGACAGTGTCTTCATAGCCGGTTCTTATCCAAGCCAAAAGGTTTCAACCAAACTGCGTCTTCAGATTTGACCAAGCAGTGGTTGATCTAGACATTCTTTCCTCGGCTATTTTCTTCTTCTCCTCGGCCTCCGCTACTTTTTGCTCTTGATCCTTGTACCCAGACTTCGCTTCTTCCGACTCGACCATCAAAATCTCCCAGTCCGAAATGAGCTTTTCTCTTCTGGACTTCACTTCCTCAAGTTTTATGTTGAGCTCTTCCTCCTCTTCCGTCAGGTCACCCAACAACTGCTTATACAAGATATGAGTCTCATGATTCTTCTTCATTGTCGCACACATTTGATCCTTCAGCAACTTCTGCAACTCGAATTCGACATTGTCCCGCTCGAAGGTCAAAAAGTCAGACGTGAACTCGTCAAAGTTGGCCCAAAAGGCCTTGACTGACTTTTGCTGGTGCCGTGATAACCCGCTTTTGGCTATGCTTAGCGTCGACACTGCTTCAGCCAATCTGTCTTTTATATTTTGCTTGAAGATATCGGAAAGGCACTCCTTCAAAGACAGCTTAGCCTTCTGTACTTCTTCCAAGGTGGGAGCCTCAGAAGTAGAAAGAGCACCTTTTTGATTGCTCGCTTTCGACCCTCCTCTAGCTGGAGAACTCTCAGCAACGTTAATAATTTCCTCAAGATTTGAGAAATATGCATTGAATGTATCTGTTGGTGTCGCCTGAGGAATATTTGCAGGAGGTTCAGCCAACCAAGTATTTTCAGCTGGGAGTTGGGGGGCCAAAATCTCAGCTACAACCATCAAAGTGTCGTTCACTAAATACCCATTACAGCTGTCACGGACTTCGCTCAATAGAATGAAGGATGTGAAGCCCCCGAGACTCTCTCTTGCAGTGAAATTATGTTCTGTCTCTGCATTTTGTTCAGATGGGACTTCAGTAAAAAAGGGTAACAGGTTAAAGATCACTATATTAGGTTCAATGAATGTAAAGATAACTATGTTTGGGATCAGAAACATGGGACTCCAGAACCACAAGAACGAAGTTAAAGCATGCTTCAAGAAAGCATTGCAACAACAAGGCCTAAACATGCTCTCTCAGTTTGCTTCATCAGAAACTCGGTCTGGTTTAGCTGAAATGGAAAAAATCCAAATTACGAAAACCCTTCTATGTTCATTTAATATAGTACCTAAAAACCTGCAATTTGTCCCACAAACAGTATTGACATGGTGAATCTTCACTCCTTCCAATAGTTCTAAATTGTCTAGATGTTCACGCATTCCATCTGAACTTTCGGAGCCAACTATTCATAGTCACCTCAGATGCTTTGAAGTGCATACAAGTGGACGTGCCATTGGAATCAGCACAAATTGTATACACAGAAGAGACTTAATCTCATCTATAAAGTGGGCATCTCCATAGACAAATGTGCTATGGCCTATTGAGTATTTCTCTCACTTTGATTCCCTAAAGTCATACTTAGTACAACAAGAGAAGTCAAAAAATCCTTCAGTACTCTTTCTGAAAGAGGCTTAATGGTCTTTGCCAATGTACACCACAAATACAATGGAATACTTCACGTAAGATGAATGATGGTGGATGTATTTCACATGAATCACAATTTTGTAAGATATTACCATAAGCAAGATTTCTCAGGTTATGATTCAAATTTGCCATTGCACCATATTTTTTAGTGCAAACTTCATTAATACGAATACCATCAATTGCGAGGACATATATGTGCCTAAATTCTAACAAGACATGAAAGAAGACTTCAGTAGCAGATATTAAATAAGGTTTCTCATTCCCCCAAAATATCATATCTCAAAATTAGATTCCAACAGCAGACAGAAAAAACCAGACATAATTGGAGCCGCAATCAACATACCCCTAATCCTAGAATTGCCATAAATGTTCTGATCAATCAGAGTCAATTTGAAATGGGTGTTTCTGCTCCACCCGGATGGTAGCCTCTCAGAATCAGCGACGTCCAAGTATATCGACAAATGCTCTGTATTGTTCCCCTTGGGGAAGATGAGTATTCGCCTGCTCACATCAACCGTACCATACAAGAGAACGGATAATTTTTAGGAAAATCAACAACTAAAGGAAACGAAAAGACAAGAACAGGCCACGTTTCGATCAATGCGCTTGCCAAAAATCGAATACAATGATTACCAGGCATTGTTGCTGAGCGTGAACACTTCGGAGTAGTACTTCCTTTGAGTCAAGCTAGTGAAGTTGGTAATCATCCATGTGTATTTCCATAAAGTGAAACTTTGCCCTTCCATCGCGTGCTTCCCCATAATCCAATCAGTTGAAACAAAAAAGACTTGTCATCAGTCTTTACAATGAAGAACACACAACAGTTCCAAAAATTCAAATGAAAAAATTGCAGACATCATCATTCTTTAACATCAACCAAACAAACACACGCCCCCATTTTTTACGGGTCATGAAAGGAACGCAAAAAGAGCATTAAAGAATAATTTAGCCTACATGTACAATCGACACCGTAAAAAGAATAGTTTAGCCTACAATGGTCACCGGGGACATCACTCATGACGCAACAAGCGTTCTCAACCTCCACCTCATTATTATCTAGTAGTCCCTTATATGTAAGGTGCCGTTAAATCATCGGCTCTTCTTAGTTCTATATCTTAACAGGCTTTTCATGGGTATGACAGTTCTGCAAATTGGGCAATAAATCACGATGCCCAACATGGAAAGACAAGCAACCGACAAGCATTTTAACCAGGCATAAAATGGCTTACACGGCAGTATCACCTTGTCCACATTGAATTTCTAAAGCAAATGCGTTAAGTACAGAAATAAGCCATATTCACCCCAACTTTATTATGGCTTTTCTTAAATGCCCACACAATCAATAACGCATTCTTACATCCGCTATACTCATTTTGAGCACGTGTCAGCATTTGACTACCAACTTTATTAGAAATTTCACTTAAGCTTAAGTGGCATTCAATGGTCGCGTAAAACCAAGAACACACTCCTCTACTTTCTCCATCCCACTTGTTTTTTGTGGGTAAGAACTCCATGATTTCTCCATCCTACATTGTGACATTTGGCCTGCTGGCCTTTATTAAATTTTTACTCCATAGTCCATATACTACTCTTTTGGACTGACTTAAACAAATCCTTATGTTCCAACGTTTCCCACTACAATGTGAGCTTTGTATTCACTCCTGGTTGATTTCAGCTTTCATCTACAAACATCATCAGGAAAATGCATATGCCAAGGGTATCATCTTGAATATTCCCAATTAGCTTGAAAGTGAAAGGATAAGAGCTTAAAGCTGAAAACTTCGATCAATCCTAGGCTATAGGCTAAACCTCGATTTATCATCGATGTATCCTTACTAAACTCAAAACTTTGTCATGCACGTCCTCTTATAATTGTATATGAACAACGTGTACTCCTTTCCTCTAAAGAATTCTCCAAAGAATTTCTCTTGTAACCCGTCATATTTCCTTTAAATTAGAAGAACAATGCATAAATCCCTTTGCCCATCCTTATGCCTTTCCACAACGGATAGCCTTCGCAAATATCAAATAGTATCATCTAATGCTAAGTGAATTCATGGATGATGGTATGGCTCTTTCCTATAAGTTGACAGGTCCATTAACACACTCCTCAAAGCAATGAACTAGTCCCTATAAGTTGTGGCATAGAGAGAATGCTTTGAAAGATGTTTCTTAATCCTGAGGTTATTGTGTTAATCTTAATAAATTAGTTTCTGCAAGTCATATGACCAAACAAAGTTCAGTAAAGAGCACGGGAAAGAAAGAGGAGTTCAACTGCATGCTGAAGACTAAGAAACACACCTCCAGACACCAGATACACAAGTAAAGAAGAAACTCACAAAAACTCAAGTGATTGTAGTAAACAAATGAGGGCTGGCGGTACCTGGCGGTTGTGCACATACTGCAAGAAAGAAGGAACATTTGGGTAACGAAATTCATTTTCATTGTCTATTTGAGCTTTTTGAAAGCAAATGATGTCCCCATCTTCAATCTGAGAAGAGAAATAGAGTACTCAGAAAATGTGCTAAAAGTGAGGTTGAATGAGACGCAATAAGCCAATTTATACCTGATTCATTCGAAATGATGCCTGCTTGTCAAGATGCTCACACATGACAAAAGGCTCAAACTTTATCTCCTGGGGATAACACCAGCATGAAATGAGGGCGTTAAATTTGCTTTGCCAAGGATTGCGACAGACCTTCTATAGTTGAAACTATGACGACTTTTATCTTTTACCACAAAAACTAGATTTTAAAAGTGGAGAGTAAACGCTGCTTGTTATAATTTTTGCGAAAACAGTACATAAATTTAACTTCTCCGCAAATATTGAACCAACTTGAATAAAATTGAAGTATTTAGTCCTCAAGGAAGTATGTTCAAATGCAGGCTTCCTCTTTCTCTAAGGGAAGGGAAGATCAAACCTCAAATAGTTCTAATTCTTCATCTTGATTGAAGCCTGCCATCTTGTTTAATCTTGGCAAAATTTCAATTGGTCTACCGTAACTCTTCACAAAGAGCCTACCTACATATCTGGTATCATGTTCTCATGTAAGATGAAGAAAATAGGTGCAAAGAAAACAGGAAAATTTTACATACAGAAATGCAAACTACCGCAGTTCTCCTTTCTCAGGGTTGTAAAGTTTGAAGAATAGCAAGATATCTTCTTTAGATTTTTCAGGTGGTGAAACAGGAACCTGATCCTGCAATATCATGCACTGTCATTTAGACCATAGCAAAAGCTACAAAAATATGGTACCTTCCAAAGCCACCTCAGAATCGCCTGCCAAACACAAATATGCATGGCCAATGACTATAAATCATTACCAGCCCAAGCTCAACTTCCAAGAACAGCTTTAATTTTGCATTGTGAGCCTTGTTCGGCATCTCCCTTAACTGTCCAACCTATGTCACAGGTTATCACAATCATTAGATGATCAAACATACATGAGAAGCAATTACTCATTCTACATACTCCAGTTCGTCCTCATTATTATGATGAGCCTAAGCCTATTAAACAAAAATCAAAGATGACAGCAGTTTTACTAACACCACCATCGCTAACGGCCTAATCAATCTGTTGTCAAGAAAGTAAAATATCTACTGAAGACTTTGAGTGCATGACAGGACCTGCCTACCAATTTCCACACAAACAAGGCAAAGGCCATGGAGTAATATTTGATTCTGTCTCCACCTCACGTCCATGAGGAATAAGTTTATATGGTAGATAGTAGATATTGTAAAAGAGAGTTTAGAGAGAACTCATAACTCCCATTAAGGAAAGTGACCTTAACGATCTTATTTTACATGTATGTGGCTTTTCTGCATTCTATCAAGAAACTTTGACATACTTAGAAATACAAGAACCTCCCCAATCACATAAATTAATCCATGGAAATTGGAGAATGGGATTCAGCAGTAAAATGTTATTACTGATTGAGCTTCCTCTTGGGGTGTTAGAGGCCGATTTGGACGGTAAGTATGGTTTTTCCTCATTGCCCATAACCAGAAACGCTGACATTGCACAGGTACACCGAACTCTCTGGCAACTTCCTCCTGCGAGTTACCAGAAAATCAGTTACATGCATAAATCAACATATCTGACCATACATATTACTAGATAGGATCGGAATGAAACAGCAACGTTCACATGGCTGACGCACTAAACAAAAATATTTGTTGTTTTTACTGCCATATTTAAATTAGCATAAAGCAATATCATAATATAGCTACTATCCCAGTACCAAAATCAGAAGACACCAAGTTAGAAGTCAGGTATTCTGAAAGCTCTTTGAAGCATGGTTTATTTACCAGAGTATAACGATTTTCAGCTATTCAAAGATTTATTATGGTAAATTGAAGAGATGAAGTACAAAAATACAATGAAAAGCAAGTACACAATTAACAAAAAAAAGAGAAAGTATCGCACACAGAAATTCTTTCAAGAGCAGATGACAGTCAAGATGGATTCCTGAATCAGCACTGACGTAGTCGAAGAAGTAAAGACAACAAAAGTGTGAAAAACAAGGCTAGATTAGAGAAGAATTGTAGCTGGAACAGAATAGATGCATTCAAGGGTTTGTAGAAACCGGCAATGTTATTGAATCAGAAAAAACTAACGAGAAAGAGACTCAAAGACCTAACTATACTGGGGTGAAGCTCGAATTAGTCATTAGCTACAGTCATGAAAAGCGTAAGGATACCTTACCAAAAAAAAGTGTAAGGATACCTTGAAAAGAGTAAACGGCATTTGCTTCTGAATGCGAAAACTTCGGACTTTTTCATGGTCCACAAGATCAAAGTATATATCTTTTCCAATCTGGTCAACAAGATCCTCTTCTCGCGCAACCTAGCATAATAAGCTGTTGCTTTAGATATAATATTAACAAAAGGCCAATGCTGCTTCTGAGTATACACCTTTATTATAGTATGAAGATAGGCTTGTGCTCTGTACTTTCTCTGTTCCTCCTTCTCTTCTTGTTCCTTCATCAAACTCATCTAAAGACAATAAGAACATAAGTCCAACTCAATACGTTCCCAGCTTCATGGACACATAAAGGAGAATAGGAGTAGCATTCATCAAGAAAGTATTTTACCCTGAAATGTTCTGCAATATCCTTCTCATCAAAGTGACAAATGATTTTGTCCTTGTCACTGTCACGTCATACAAGCAAGTATGCATTTAAGTATTTTATAGATTTGAAGGGAGAGTTGTTGAAACCAGGATTGGTCTGCGGCCACTGAAAGAAAATAAATAAGAGACATATAAGTTCATCACAAGTCGGGCAAAGAAACAATTTGATAATCAGTGTAATATATCACCTCCTTCTCTCCCCCATACTGTTCTTCCAAAACCCTCTTTGTATCTTCTTTTGTCACCCGTTCATCATCAAATTTAACCCTGAAAGTGGGAGTCTCAAAAGATGTGCTACAGAGAAGTGATGAGTTCTACTCGGCAGTCTTCACCCAACATGAAGGGGAATAACTCCAAGATTGCGGTATCAACTAGATTGTTTGGGTAAAAATGAAGATTTGCCAGCGGAAAGTATATGAAGTTGTGATCATACTACAAATTAAGGAATCTACATTTAGGTGTCTCCTACATTCCATGTTTTCAAGTATATCGCATAACATAAGTTCATGGGAAATGATGCAAGCAACGATAGTATCCATCGTAGCATCTGTATCCATTCATTATCTCATTTTACAACCAAATCAAGCATTTGATAACTATTTAGTATTCGAAATTGTGTTCAAAATATGCTTGAAAGTGCCCGATTCAACTCAATTAAAAAGATGCGCTTCAGAAAAGGAAGATGGGTATATATATTTGCTATTTTTTTTATCGTCAACTTATCAAACGTGAACATTTGAAATTGAAACTCGTTGTCAAACACGATTCGAAAAACTTGACGTTAAGGCCTCCAGGTACGGATCACAGTCTTGCCATTGTCCTTTTCAGGCAAAGCTACATCATAGTAGTCTGTCGGTCCTAATCAGGGGTTGAAGCATGCACATAGCACATTAACATTGAGAAGTAGATGTGGAACCAGCATATCTTCGTCCTCTTGCTGTAACGCAATCAGCATCTAAAGCAGTTAGCTTCCTCCCAACCAAAACCCGGTCAATCTAATCAAAACCCAAAGACATCGCGCAACTGAAGCTCAGTTCAGAAGGCCACCCGCGTCAAAAAAGAAGAAAAACCCTTCAAAAAAAGAAGAAGAAACTCAAATTCTACGAGCCACAGAGCGAAATGACCAGTATCATAGAACCAGCAACAGTGAAAAGAAGCGGTAGAAACCACAGCGACCATCAACGGGTAGATTAGTAACTGATATTTAGCACAGAGAGAGAGAGAGAGAGAGAGGGAGATGGAGATGGAGAGAGGGTTGATTACATCACAAGGTGGAGGAGTCATCATAGCCATGGATGCAGAGACTTGCAAATTCGTGATCAACCACTGTAGAAGCAACTAGAGAGAGAAAACGAAAAAGGAGGAGGAGGAGAGAGAGAGAGAGTTGGAGGGAAAAGTAAATGCAAGAGTGTTAAGTGCTTATATAGGTCACTTAAGAAAAAGAAAAAAAATTGTTTTTTTTAACTTCTATAGTAATAAAAAACTAACAAAAGAGAAAGTGAAAAATGATACCTTAAGATCGAAGGAGTAGTAGGGACTACACTTGAAGCGATAAACCATATTCAAACCTAGCTGACTCAGATAATATCAAAATCGGGAGTGTGTGTGTCGTGAGACAAGGTCGTGGCCCTTGCCAATTGCATCCATAAATTTGAGGAAAGGTCCAACTTAAAGAAGAAGGTACATAATTTAGGGGTCAATTTCACAAATGAAAGTTAAGGACACTTATTGAATATTTTGAGCTGCAATATTTGTGCTTTTTGACCTTTAGACTCAAAAAGATGTTTAGTTAAAAAAAAAAGAAACGAAAAAGGTGGACATCCGAGAGGAAAAGCGGGAGAGAGAGATGCAAAGGGAAAGAAAAGGAAAAGAAAGAAGAAGAAAAGAAAGAAAGGAAACGGAAAAAGGGAAGGGGTACCTGATACGGGGTCTTGTCAAGCTAAATTTATTCATTTTGTAACGCTTGGTATCGCGACCTTATCTCAAGGTGCACCATCTAAGAATTCGGCTAATGGATTATTAAGCCTCGACACTCTTCCAAGCTTATACCAATTTGTAACTTATAATTCAAGTTCTTAATATGTAAATAATTTCAATTATGAGTCACCATTAATCAGTTTACGATAGGTTGATTAGAAATCTAAATAAAGTATCGAGAGATATTATTCCTACGAATCATAATATGAATAAGAGATTATAAGTACGGAGGCTTGATTACGCCAGATTACTTTTAACACCCTTTCGGTACCTTTTTCTTTTCATGAATGTAGGCAACCTGAATTAATTTTATTATCTCTTAACACGTGAAGTGATCATGTGGGTGCGCAAACCCAAATTACCACCCAATAATCAAAGTATGAAATAAATTGAAAGATAGGGAGAATGTACTTACCTCAAAATGTAAGCATCTACAATGTGAGTTAGAAAATCACATTATTAATCCTAATATGATTTCTATTTAGCACGCAATTCCACTCAATATATATATATATATATATATATTTTCTCTTGATTTTATGAAAACCAACGTATATGCAATAATGTAGATAATATGAGATCCGATTAAATGATGATGGGCATATGATATATTTTTGTATTTTCTATTAAAATTCGTAATTAAAAATGCCTATTATCAAAACATGCAATTTTAAACTAAATAAAACAAATTAACCCTTTCTAGAGTGATGTTTTTGGTATATTTCAATTAAAATTCGGAATAAATAAATGACTTAAATTAAGCATGCTATCTATTCTAGAAAGGTAATCTAATTTATTCTAAGATGGTGTCTTTTTTGGTATTTTTCATGAAAATTCGGAATTAAAAATTACCTTAATAAACTATCAAGATTGTGATAGTATCTAACTTAAATTAGGAAGTAATCTACGTTAAATACTAATTTAAATCGGAATATAATTTTAATCTTCAAAAATCTACTAAATTTGCAATCTATCCAGAATATCCTAACTTAACAAGGGAATTCAATCTAGCATGATTCTAATCTAATATTATCTCTAAAATTCAGTTTAAACATGCAAGGTTATCTAACAAAATTTAACTAAATCCATCATGATATTTTTTGTTTTTTTTCTTTTGCAGGCAAACAAATCAATTAAAAGGATAAGCACCCATCATCAAATAATATCCACACAATCGACAAGATTTGCTTTATCTATTTAAATTTGGAAACGAAAGAAGCTAGCGATCATACCCAAATGGTTATGGATATTAATGGAAGGTTTCTCGTATAAACTTGGAAACAAGATAAAGCAGGATTGTATCTAAATAGTTATGGATAAGATGAAAGATTTTCCAGTATTGTATCTCATAGTTAGAGATCAGATTATTGTCCAAACATGTTGTTATTTTCCTAACTTGGGGTGATTTTTAAAATTTTGCAGATATACACAATCACTCCAAAGATAGCAAAAATTCCATAAAATAAGCAATACCAACCAAATTGGGCAATAAAATATACAAATCGATATTGGATATAATCCTTACCTAATTTGAGGATAATTTCCAAATTCGAACTTGATAGAAACTGGGATTGTGGATCTGGGTGGAATGGATGCGGCTCGGTATGGCGAGGATCTCACGGTGGTGGCTCGGATGAGGTTGGCCATGGTGAGGCTTGTGGCAAGGACAGCTGCCTCATGGCTGGAAGCCTGCGAAACAGAACACAACTGGAGTCGTTTGGCACGGAATAGAGCAGCAACAAAGACTTTTTTAGCTTCATGGATTCCCAAATGATGTAGAAAATGCTGAAATGTGATCCCGCAAAAAGGACTCGGCCAAAGCAGCACTGAATCATCATTGGACGGTCTCTTATATTCTTATGCCTGGGAAAAATTTGTAAATCAACTGGATCCATTAGACCGCCTAGGAATCGGACTAGCTGATCTGGTCCAATCCTAGGACTAGGTGGTCCAATTCTCGGTTCCAGAAACTGGGAACGGTCTTTCTAGTTTGGTTCCCGATTCTTGGGTGGGATCGGACCGCACCGAGAACCGATTACCTCTTATGATAACTTCCTATTACTACCTTAAAAGTAGTTACGTTTTAAATTTCACTTTGGTGGGGATTTAAATACTTTGAAAGCGCAATTATGTTTGTGAGTAGTAAGATTTTATTATCGATAGCATATATCTAAACAACTTGATAACTTATGGGGAATTAAGACGTGCTTGTTTCGCGAAAAATGATTTGGAAAACATTTTCATTAAAATGATTGCTTGTATAGCCTATAAAAATAAATGAACGAAAAATATTTTCATACGATGAAAATATTTAGACATAAATTGTTATCTTTAATGAAAATGTTTTTCATTGACTAATTATTCGAGTCATACAAGCGATCATTTTTAGGATAATATTTTCCAAATTATTTATTTTCCACAGATCAAACAGAGCCTTGGTAACTTACCCGTAGGGGTGAGCATGGTTTCAGGGTAGAACCTGGAACCTGAGAACCTGATCGGTGGAAACTTGTAAATTCCAGGTTCCAAGGTATGCAAGGTAGGTTCCAAGTTTCAAAAATTGGAGAATTTATTTTGACGGATAGGTTTCAAGTTCTAGGTAGGTAGTACTTGGAACCTGAATCCTTAAACAAGTTTTTTGTGTTTTTTATTGATCTATGTCTTCGTATGATTATGTGTTGTTTCATAGCGTTAGATGATGAATGTATAATTTGAAACTACTAGTATGAGCTTTCATTTTATGACTTGTTAATATTTCATATTCTTCGTGTGTCTTAATATAAGTTATGATTGGTAGATCGTAGCAGTAAGTGATGGTCATTAAAGGTAATGATTTACTAGAATTGTTCAATTAATAATACAGGTGGAACTTAAGTATACCCTCGAATCGACTCTAAACCTGTGATAGGGAAGGTTCTAGATTCCAAAGTATGTAGGATAGGTTCTATGTTCCAAAAAATGAGGAACCTATTCCTACGAGTAGATTTCAGGTTCTAGGTGAAACCTTTACGGAACTTGGAACCGTTCACCCCTACTACCCTATAGTCGCCTTTGGGAAAACAACGTGCCAACCAAGTGATGAAATTACTAATTGAAAATTGCTTACTAGTTTCATAACTTACTGTTGACTTGAAAAATTGGTAATTTGCCAGGTGCCTTACTAATTTAAATGGGAAGGTTCTATTTCCAATGATTTTTTAAAAATTTTTGATAATTTACTATTGAATTTTTCTTTATAAATTCCTCAAATTGTTTGTAATTGCTATAGTAAAATGAGCGTACTTTAGTAACTGACTTATTTCATTTATAGATACTAAGGGCGCGCATGATAACCATTCTATTTCTTTATTTTTTTATTTTTCTGTTCTTAGGAACAGGTTTGGAACAGAAATCTGTTTGGTATCGCAATGTCATTTTTCTATTTCTGGAACAAATTTTTAGTCTATAAATAGGTTTGGAACAGAAATGAAAAGTAAAAATTTTCTATTTTTCCATTTCTGGAACAAAAAGAGAAATAGAAACTGTTTTCATTGTTTGCCTTCGCCTCCCATCGCCTGCCACCGCCACCCCTGCTGGTCGGCTGCGCCCATTGATGAATGAAAAAGAGCGCAGGAGGGAGAAATATTTTGTCGTTATTAAATAAATTTCTGTTCCGAGAAGAAAAATTTTGTCATTATTAAAGGCATGTTTATATTTAGAAAACTCGTCTAAGTTGCTAGAATTCTATTCCAGAAACAGAATGGTTATCATTCACGTTTTAAGTTTCGATATTGATTTGAAAGAGGAAAATTTCTTACTTTGTTGGTAACTTACTAACTTGTGGATAATCTTACATTGGTAAATTAATAATTTTTCTGTAAGCAACTCATTGCACCTGTAAGTTTTGGTTTTCAACGGTTATTTTCTATAAAAGCAGATAAGTTCAATGTTACTTGAACTTTGTACCTTTTCAACTCTGTTTATAACTTACTAACTTATAAGTGGACCTACAGTAGTAAGATCTTAATTTATCCGGTAAATTACTATTCTCACGGCTAAACTTTTGTTTTGAGCGGTAAGTTTATAAGAAATTGATAAATTTTTATTTCATGTGATGTTCGTAAGTTGTTAACATTGTTAGTAAACAACCATCGACAAATCTGTCGAACCAGTTGTGTGTTACTAACAACGTTACAGGATTACCATCCCCGAAAGTTGTTCCCTTTTTGCCCCAACGGAACATTGTTCTCTGAATCAAAGTGATATCAGTGAACTGCATCATAAGGACATGAGTAAAATGATTGTGGCAGAAGAGTGTGTGTCCAAAATCGTCCTCTTGAAATCTTACTGCGGTACATGTACATGGATCAGAAAAACATCCTGTGTCTCAACTTCAAAGTGAAAGAAGTACAACTTCAGTCGCAGGTTATCATTTTGCGGAAAATTAAGCAGACCAACGCCAAGCATCTATAGGCTTACAAGCAGGAATGGTTCTACCTTCAAACCTTTGATGGAATAACAGAAAGAAACACACACAGAATGTGAAATTCGAAGTGTACAAGAGCACAGCAGATGTGGTAACTCTATAAAAATATCAGAAGGTGACTGTAACACAAAGGCACGGGTTTTCACCACTCGAAAGCACTTATTAGCAAGAGAATTCATACAAACACAGTAGTATTCACATACGCGATCCATTTGAATAGTGTCCTCATAGCCAGTTATGATCCAAGCCAAAAAGGTTTCAACCAAATAGCGTTTTCAGATTTGACCAAGCAGTGGTTGATCTAGACATTCTTTCCTCGGCAATTCTCTTCTTTTCCTCAGCCTCTGATACTTTCTTCTCTTGATCCTTGTGCCCAGATTTCGCTTCCTCCGACTCGACCATCAAAATCTCCCAGTCCGAAATGAGCTTTTCTCTTCTGGACTTCACTTCCTCAAGTTTTTTGTTGAGCTCTTCCTCCTCTTTGGTCAGGTCACCCAAAAATTGCTTATACAAGATGTGAGTGTTGTGATTCTTCTTCATTGTCGCATACATTTGATCCTTAAGCAATTTCTGCAGCTCGAATTCGGCATTGTCCTGCTCAAAGGTCAAAAAGTCGGAAGTGAACTCATCAAAGTTGGCCCAGAAGGCCTTGACTGATTTTTGCTGGTCCAGTGATAACCCACTTTTGGCTACGCATAATGTTGACATTGCTTCAGCCAATCTGTCTTTTACATTTAGCTTGAAGATATCGGAAAGGCACTCTTTCAAAGACAGCTTAGCCTTCTCTACTTCTTCCAAGGTTGGAGCCTCAGAAGTCAAAAGAGCACCTTTTTGATTGCTCGCGTTCAACCCTCCTCTGGTGGGAGAACTCTGAGCAGCGTTAATAATTTCCTCGAGATTTGTGAAATACGCGTCGAACGTATCTGTTGGTGTTGCCTGAGGAACATTTGCAGGAGGTTCAGCCAACTGAGTATTTTCAGCCAGCGGTTGGGGGCCAAAAATCTCAGCCTCAATCGTCAAAGTGTTGTTAACTAAATACCCGTTACAGCTGTCACGGACTTCACTCAATGGAATGAAGGATGTGAAGCCCCAGTCACTCTCCCTTGCATTGAAATTATGTTCCGTCTCTGCATTTTGTTCAAATGGGACTTCAGTAAAAAGGGTAACAGATTAAAGGTACCTTGTTTCACTGCATTAGGTTCAATAAATGAACAGATTACTGCGCTTCAGATCAGAAACATGGGACACCAGAACCACAAGAACGAAGTTAAAAGCATGTTTCGAGAAAGCATTGCAACAACAAGGCCTAAATATGCTCTAGCAGTTTGCTTCATCAGAAACCCAGTCCAGTTTGCTGAACCGAAAAAAATCCAAATTACGACAACACTTCTCTGTTCATTTGATATAATACCTAAAATCTTGCAATTTGTCCCGCAAACAGTATTGACATGGTGAATCTCCATTCCTTCCAATACTTTTTTTTGGTCGGAATTCCTTCCAATACATCTAAATGTCCAAATGTTCACGCATTCCTTCTAAACTTTCTGTTGCCAAGTCTTCATATCATCACCTCAGATGCTTTAAAGTGCATATAAGTACAATTGCAATTGCAATTGGCACAAAATTATGTATCACAGAAGAAACTTCATCTCATCTATAAAGCGGGCATCTCCATAAACAGATGCTATGATCATCGAGTAATTTCTCACTTTGATTCCCTAAAGTCACACTTAGTTCAACAAGAGAAGTCAAATAATGTTTCCATGTTCTTTGGGAAAGAGACTTATAAATAGAATTGACGACTGTGCTGCATTGCTAACCCAACTATGGTCTTTAACAATGTACACCACGAAGACAATGGGATAGTTCACATACGATGAATGATGGTGGATATATTTCACCTGAATCACAATAAGCATAAGCAAGATTTCTGAGGTTATGAATCACATTTGCCATTACTCCAAATTTGTAAGTGCAAACTTTATTAACACGAATACCATCAATTGCGAGGACATATATGCGCCTAAATTCATCCTAGACATGAAAGAGGACTGAAGCTGCAAAAATGAAAGAAGGTTTCTCATTCCACCATATCTCAAAATCAGATTCCAACAGCAGACTGAAAAAACCAGTTGCAATCAGCGTACCCTTAATCCTAGAATAGCCGTAATTGTTCTGATCGACCAGAATCATTCTGAAATGGGCGCTTCTGTTCCACCCGTATGGTAGCTCCACGGAATCAGCGACGTCCAAGTATATCGACAAATGGTCTATATTGTTCCCCTTGGGGAAAATGAGTATTCGCCTGCTTACATCAACCGTGCCATACAAGAGAATGGATAATTTTTAGGGAATTCAACAAGTAAAGGAAACAAAAAGATGAACAAGCCGCAATTCGATCATTACGCTCGCCAAAAATCGAATTCAATGATTACCAGGCATTGTCGCGAAGCGTGAACACTTCGGAGTAGTACTTCTTTTGAGTCAAGCTAGTGAAGTTGGTAATCTTCCATGTGTATTTCCATGAAGTGGGATTTTGCTCACCCATCGCCTGCTGCTTCCCCATGATCCAATCAATTGAAACAAAAAAGAGTCACCATCAGTCTTTAGAGTCGAGAGCAGACAACGATTCCCACAAAACTCAAACGAAAAAATTCGCAGACATCATCGTTCTTTCACATCAAAACCAAGCAAACACACGCCCCATTTCTGATGGGTCAGGAAAGGAGCACAAAGAGAGCGTGATCAAGAACGTTAAAGAATCGATTGAGATTGCATCAGACAGGGCGAGATTCAAAGAACGCGGACTTGAAACAGAGAGCAAAATGAAGAAACGAACACCAACCTCTCCCTCGAAACAAGGAACGAGCTCCGACTCAGAGGAGAGCGGGACGACAACAGGTTGAGGTGGGACAGCAACAGGTCGAACCTGGGTTGTGTTTCGGGGAGGACGAGAAGGAAAGCCGCAACGAGAGAAGCAGCAACCACCTCTTCTTCCACTCATCGAGTCGTGGGCATCTCAGAATAAAAACCGAAAGACTGCCCCTCACCAATTCATAAGCCACAGAGATCTCGAAAATCCACCGATGGACACGGCTGATCCAACTCTTCTCAGTTGACCAGAAAATGCAGAGTAACTTGGAGGAACCAAGTACCAACCTTCATATCAAATTTTGTGTTATTGTTGTTAGTATTATTGGGTAGTTGCTTGTTTGCTGCTCCATCTCTCCGGTTTCTTGAGCCGTGTCAAATTGACGTTGGAAACGTCTCCCTTCGCGTTCTTCTGGTTAGTTTCCTTTGTTTTAAGTTCGATGTCCTTTCCGTTGACATCTACATTGAATTTGTTCCGCGTACACTGAGTTTCATTCCCTTATATATATTTAATATTGGTCACAAGCTCATCTTCCAGCTCGTGTTTAATGGGCCCCACGCGGAGTGGATAATCCCGTCGAGCAACAAAGGAAAGCGAAATAACGAATAAACAAGATCTAGTAAAATGGGTCATGATGGGTTGCTTGTGGATATCGCTGTGGCATGTCGCTGTCGATATTATGTTTGAATCCAACTTTGCATCTTGCGTTCGAATTACACGTCATGATTAATTTTGCACACACACGAAATTGGTGCCTTTAATCAAGGGATAATTAAAAAAAATACTAACTTTACCTTGATTGACATTCCTGGCCCGAACATTTTTTTGTCTCAATAAAAAGCATCAACTTTAACTTGAGTCCCAAATCTAATCCCCGTGATGTGAAATTTTCAAATTGTTCGAGCCATATTTAAGATTTAAGTGAAAATTGATGATTTTTTATGAGACAAAAAAAGTTCGGATCAGAATTGTCACATAAAGTAAAGTTTGAATTTTTAATTAATAACCGCACCAAATAAGTGTATTGGCAATATTACAAATTTTAGAATAGCATGCATACTTAGGAAATTAATTGATGAGTAATTTAAGACTTAACCATAAATATTGTTTTAATATTGAAAGGGTGTCGTGGGATGCTAATTTGTCCAATGCATAATCAAAGCACATACCTAATATCATTTTCTTTGAAATATACGCAGTCATGTAATAAACCTTTAATTATATAATTTTCTTTCCTTTTATTGGCTTTTTATGATGATGGTTTTTCCTACATTATTAATCTCTCTAAAATGACCTAGAAAACTAAGTTATTGAGTAAAGCTCGCACGCGGGGGCAGAACCTCAATTCGTGCCTGTGCGTGTGAGTTTTACACGAATCCACCATATCCAAGGATCTAGTCTTGCCAATCGACTAGAAAAGTTTTTCGCAAACGAAAAATTTAGGTGCTGAAGTAGCTTTAATCTGCTTATAAATTATTCAATGGATATTGCCTTTGCGTTCGTGCTCTTAAATTATCATTGAAAAATACTCATTCCAAAGTTATAAATCACAGTCGTAAGATTTGTTGTTGCTTTTGTCATATTAGTAATGGAATAAGTCTACTTATGGATTTTTTTTTCATGGATTTAGCCGATCAATGGCGGTGTTTAGTGTCTTGAACATTAGAATGTTAGGTAATGCATTATTATTATTTTTTTTTGTGGTAGGAATTCGTAAACCCATTATTGAAACATTCCCAAAGCTTCTTTCCTAACCTTTTCCTATTGACCTCTTCTGATTTCCCAATTCCTAATGTGAAATCAATGCCTTATTAGATATATGTGATGCAAAACTCTCCAGAAATTGCACTAGATTATAGTTTACCCATCGTCGACGGCAACCCGCGCCTTACTATTTCGGAGCAATTTGGTAGCATCGTTGACCTTGACATTCCACGCATACTTTTCGTGTGCCAAATTGGCTTGTGAAATGGCCAGTTTGCACGCCTCGACGTAGTTGCGATTCACCCGACAAGTTCATTCCATCTTTTTGGTCGTCGAATCTGTAAAATGTCTCTCCTGAATGATGGTCGACTGAAGGGAACATTTTCGCACAATTTCCGGATTGACTTCGACGGGGTTTAGCCGCTTTGACGAGTTCAAATTCGGAGTCGTTTTCTGCAAGATGTAGTCTCTTTCACGGCAGTTTTTCTCGTTTTATTGGGATCAGTCATATTGAGGATCTCCTGCTTGTAAAGGGGATGAAAATTCGGAACTTAGGGTCCGGTCGTTCCGTAGAAAATAACTTCCAGGAAAATATTTCTAGATTTTCCGGCCTTTAGTTCACGAAAAATAAACAAATCAAGGAAAACGCTTTCCTTGGATGGTGTGGAAAATGATTTTCTTTCCCTCCTCCTCCTTGCATCATCCATTTTAATTATTTTTATTTTAATTATCTTTTTCTTCTTTCTTTTTTTAAAATTCTAATTTTTTATTTTTTAATTTTTAATTTTATTTTTTCTTCTTCACCGAAGAGGGCGGTGAGGCTCGAGCCTTGCAGATCGGTGATGCTCAAGCGTCACTCGTGGCCGGTGAGCTCACTCGTCAGATCAGTGAGGCTCGAGACCTTGCAAGAGGTTGGCGAGCTCGCGAGGCCTCGAGCTTCGTCAAATTTGGCGAGTGAGCTCGCCAGACTCAAGCAAGCTCGACCTCGCTGAATCTGGTGAGTTAGAGCCTTGCCCTAGGCTGGCTCTGCTCGGCTCGTCAAAATCTGGCGAGCTTGAGCCTCACCAACCTGTGCCAACCTGTGGCGAGGCTTGAGCTCGCCTGTGGTCGGTTGCCGACCTTTGCTGTGGTTGGCGGCTGGACAAGAAGGTCAAAAAAAATAAGAAAGAAAAAGAAAAAAGAAAAGAAAATTAAAAAATAATTAAATAATTGATTTCTTAAAAATAAAAATAAAAATAAAAAATATTAAAAGTAGTGCACGGAGGAAAATCAAATTGAATTTTCCATACCAAACGGTGGAAAATATTTTCCACGTCTTTTTCAGAATTCAGCCGAACACCGAAAAAAAATTGTGTCATTATCCTAAAAAACATTTTTCATAAATATCACATTTCGCGAAACGAATGGAGCATAGAAGAAGAAGGAATTCTGATTCCATTGATCAATCCATCGCAGCAATGCGAGCAAAGTGAAAATCAGGAACACAAAGGAAAGAGCTCTTGTTCCGAAAACATTTAACAGTTCGAAACAGATGAAAACATGCATTTCGCGAACACGGAATAAAGGTAGTACATTCCCACAACTCACAACCGACACATAAATCAGCATATGTTTGTTCGGAGCCATGTAAAAGTACAGACCGGCGATAGGTTTTACAAGACGGAACTACTCGAATCTCATGCATCGATGGAGCAACGGCGATGAATGCGCATCTTATCAGAGCAAACTTCTAAGCTTCGAGAGCGAAAAACATCGTGACCGCACAGTTCGCATGGAAGATTGTCACACACCGACTCTTTCTCTTTTCCTGTTCGATAAGGAAATTTGAAGGCGAAAATCGCCCGCAACTTACACAACTCAAGAAGGAGACGAATAGGCTCGAGCAAGTACTCTCCGTGTGAAAACAGGATCGCTTGCTACATATACAGCCGATATTATCCTCCAATGCTTTCGAGGATGAAATTTTTCCTCCGATCACCCTTTTGATTGGTGGGTTATACGTTGCGATGTCACTTACATGAATAAATATGAGTGATGTTCATGATTGTAACCCCCAGTCGCGCTCTCTTCTTGTGCAATCGTCGTCTACTACTCTTTATGTCTCGAAACATGCAAGGGTAGTAAAGTGGTGAGCAAAACCACAGCTTAGCAACGACAAATCACTACTTCTTTGGAATTGAGTAATCAATAATGTAGCTTCACAATCCAATATGCATCTTCAAAACTAAAAGCATTCATCACATTTTCCCCAAGTAACAAGCATAATGTGTATATGCTCATAATTAACAGATTAAAAATTATGCAACAAATCCGTAATGTGAATATCAAACTCAATTGCCCATGTCACACAAAAGCCTATGGTGACGCTTCGCAGGTTGACAAAGTCTGAAAAACCACGTCGGGTGTGCTTAAGCCTCGAAAATCACATTGACTGCGGTTAGTTCCCCAAACAAAATGAGGCTGTACACATGTATATCATGTCTCAATGGGGTTAATATCATGACAAATCATAAACTGGTACATTTATGGTAAATTTATCCCAACTTAATTTTTTGATCATTAAAAACCCTAAACTGGTACATCTATGACAAATTTACCCAAAACTAATTTTTAAACCACAAAAAAACTTTAAAATGGTACATTTATGACAAATTTATCCACCGTTAGTTTCCGTTAAATTGAATTAATACCATAAAAAATCACAGACCGATACATTTGTCATAAACGAAAGGTAAAACCCCAAACCAGTACACTCGTCAACTGCCACGTGTCATCCAACTCAGGAATTTAATGGTAAAATTTAATTGAAATTAACAGAGGGTAAATTTGTCACAGGCATATCGATTTGGGATTAATGGTCAAAAAATTATTTTGGGGTAAATTGTCACAGGTGTATTGGTTAGGGATTTTTTGTGATAAAAAATTAGTTTGGGATAAATTTATCACAGATGTATCAGTTTGGGGTTTTTCGTGGTATTAACCCCGTCTCAATACATAGGTTGACAATGAGCATCTAATCCAAACCAAATTACAACATGCTGGTGAATAAGTATTTCATCAATATAAACAACATTTCATTACAAAATATTTTGGACAATATAAACTTGAGGCTGAAAAGTATATATTGTTTGATCCAATTTTCTTGTCTAGCTCTGCTGCCACCTGTCGCCATCTTTCTTTGAATCAATTAATTATTCTTTAAACAAAATTGACCAAACTTCGATCATGCATAACTTTTCCGTCCAATGTTCGACAAACTTGATTTTTGTGCACATGAATATCTATGACTGAACCACCCACCTGGGTGGCGCTGCTGGAGCGCGCACTCTTCCTCTCACAAAAGGTTGAGTGTTCGAATCCCGGGCGCCGCAGGGTGACTTAACCGATGGCACGTGTGTGGTGGCTAACACGTGTCGCCCCCAGGGTTTACTCCCCGGCTGTCGGCCGTGCGGGGGTTCCCTGGGTTACCAAAAAAAAATATATATATCTATGACTGAAGTTTTGGTTATTGAAACAGTATTCTGATACGACATTTCTGAGAATCGGGTAGGATGGATGATCATGGTAAAAAGTCTACGGGCAAATTGGGAATTGTAGAAACCTCTTGATAGGAACTGCCCAGTTATAGCATTCGATCAAACTATTAGCAAATTTTTATCTGGTGTCAAGTTCAGTCAAACTTAAAAAAAGTCTTAGGTCGCAAAGGGATCAAAAGATTCAGAACTTGATGTGTCAACAAAGAATTGTTGATAAAAACAAGTGGACAAAGGTTTGTATGTTTTGCACTCTTGACTAAGTGTCCATGTAACCTTAGGAAGGGGGGGCCAAATCTATGCAATTTGTCTTGGTAAGTCCCAGTCCACCCTCTCCATTTTCTAGGATTGATATCGTTCCAAGGAACTATGTCCATTTCTCTGGCTACTTTGGTTTATACGTAGAACTAGGTCATGCTAACCAAATGCTATGGTTTGACCCTAGAAGAAAAAAAGGTTATCACCGTGAAAATTCCCAAACGGTATACTTACGATAAATTTACCCCAAACTAATCTTTTGACCACTAAAAACTCAAAACCGGTACACCTGTGATAAATTTACCCTCCGTTAGTTTCCGTTAAATTTTATTGTCAAATTGTTTAGTTAAATGACACACTGCAGTTGACGAATGTACCAGTTTTGGGGTTTTACCCCCCGTTTGTCCTAGTTGTACTAGTTTGTGATTTTTTATGTATTCGTTCAATTTAATGGAGGGTAAATTTGTCATAGGTGTACCGGTTTGGAGTTTTTTTATGGTAAAAAATTATTGATTTGGGATAAATTTATCACAGGTATATCGGTTTAGGGTTTTTCGTGGTTTTAACCCAAAAAAGAAGAAGAGAAATTGCTAATCTAGAAGATATTTCGGACCTTCTATGCAAGATGTTCCTGATATTACAGGAAGCTTCTCTGTTCACGTTGGTGATCATTTGTAAATAGCTCTGAGTTTGAAAATTGCTAAGTTACTAGGGGTGAGTAAGATGGACTGTCCAAATCGGGACCGGACCAATCGGTTTGGTCCGGTTCTCGGGAATATAGGTCCGGTTCCCGGTTCTAGGGTGGGAATTGGACAGGACCGAACCGATAAATATATATTTTTCATATTTTTCTAATTTTTTCATTAATATAATATTTAATATATATATGAAAAATATTTAATATTGGTCCTATTGGAATCGATTGTTCAATTTTTTCATATATTATATATTTTTTCAATTTTTTCCATGGCCTTATGGGATCAAATCAGAACTACAAAGGAAAGAACGAAATAATTTTTTCCCGGTTCACAAATAATATTTAATATTGGTCCCATTGGAATCGGTCTACGGTCTCAAGACTAGCCGGTCCGGTCCTCGGTCCTAGAAACTGGGAACCGGCCCTCCCAGTCCGGTTCCCGGTTCTTGGGTTGTACCGAACCGGACCGGGAACCACTCACCCCTATAAGTTACTAATTACCCCGGTAAGTTTTTGTTTTCAACAGTAAATTTCTATATATAAAAGATTAGTTTCATTCTACTTAAACTTTTTATAGTTTATTACTCTGCTCATAACTTTCTACCTTGTAAGTGGACCTCTGTAGTAGAAAGATATTAATGTTTACCGGTTATTTACTGTTTTTATTGCTAAATTTTTGTTTTGAGTGGTAAATTTCCAAAATAATTGGTAACCTACCATTTCATGTGAATAACCATCGACGTATCGAACATATTGCCATTTACACTATCTATTTAACAAGATTTTTACCAACACCAAAATATTTTCCCTTTCTGATCAATTAAAGGGATACAAGTGAATTGCCTTATAAGGACATGAGTGTGAAATGATCGTGGTAGGAGATAAGAGTGTTAATGTTCAAAATCATCCACTTGAAATCTTTCTGCAGGACAGGTAAATATAAATATAAGAAAATCCTCAGTCTCAACTTCAAAGTGTAGATGATATACAACTTCAGTCACAATGAGACATAGGTTATCATTTAAGGACAATTAAGCGGACCAACACGAAGCATCAATGCATCAATAGGTTTACAATTAAACCTCTGATGAGATAACCGAAAGAAAAATACAAAAAATTTGAAGTTCTTAGTGTATAAAAGAACAGCAGATGTGGTAACTCGGTACAAAAATTATCAGAAGGTGACTGTATCTCAAAGGCACAGGATTTCACCACTCAAAAGCACTTATTAGCAAGAGATTTGACACGAACACAGTTATTTTAACATATGCGACCCATTTGTAGAGTGTCCTCATACCCAGTTCTGATCCAAGCCGAAAGGCTTCAACAAAATTGCGTCTTCAGATTTGACCAAGCAGTGGTCGATCTAGACATTCTTTCCTCAGCTACTCTCTTCTTTTCCTCTGCCTGCACTACTTGCTTCTCTTGATCCTTGTACCCAGATTTCGCTTCTTCCGACTCGACCATCAAAATCTCTCAGTCCGAAATGAGCTTTTCTCTCCTAGACTTCACTTCCTCGAGTTTTTTATTGAACTCTTCCTCCTCTTTGGTCAGGTCACCCAACAACTGCTTATACAAGATGTGAGTCTCGTGATTCTTCTTCATTGTCGCAAACATTTGATCCTTCAGCAATTTCTGCAGCTCGAATTCGGCATTGTCCTGCTCGAAGGTCAAAAAGTCGGAAGTGAACTCATCAAAGTTGGTCCAAAAGGCCGTGATTGACTTCTGTTGGTCCTGTGATAACCCGCTTTTGGCTATGCTTAACGTCGACATTGCTTCAGCCAATCTGTCTTTTACGTTTAGCTTGAAGATATCAGAAAGGCACTCCTTCAAAGACAGCTTAGCCCTCTCTACTTCTTCCATGGTTGGAGCCTCAGATGTCAAAAGAGCACCTTTTTGATTGCTCGCGTTCGACCCTCCTCTGGCGGGCGAACTCTGAGCAGCGTTAATAATTTCCTCAAGAATTGTGAAATATGTGTCGAACGTATCTGTTGGTGTTGCCTGAGGAACTTTTGCAGGAGGTTCAGCCAACTGAGTATTTTCAACCAGCGGTTGGGGGACCAAAATCTCAGCCTCAACCGTCAAAGTGTTGTTAACTAGATACCCGTTATTGCTGTCACGGACTTCACTCAATGGAATGAAGGATTCGAAGCCCCAGTCACTCTCTCTTGCAGTGAAATTCTGTTCCGTCTCTGCATTTTATTCAAATGGGACTTCAGTAAAAAGGGGTAATAGGTCAAAAGGTACCTTGTTTCACTGCATTAGGTTCAATAAATGAACAGATTACTGTGCTTCAGATCAGAAACACGGGACACCAGAACCACAGAACGAAGTTAAAGCATGTTTCGAGAAAGCATTGCAATAACAAGGCCTAAACATGCTCTCTCAGTTTGCTTCATCAGAAACTCAGTCCAGTTTGCTGAAACAAAAAAAAATCCAAATTACGACAGCACCTCTATGTTCATTCGATATAGTACCTAAAATCCTGCAATTTGTCCCACAAACAGTATTGACATGGTGAATCTCCATTCCTTCCAATTACTTTTAAATGTCCAATTGTTCACGCATTCCTCCTAAACTTACTGATGCCAAGTATTCATAGCGTCACCTCAGATGCCTTAAAGTGCATATAAGTGCACGTGCGATTGGAATTGGCACAAAATTATGTACACAGAAGAAACTTCATCTCATCTATAAAGCGGCATCTTCATGAACAGGTGTTATGACCCATAGAGTAATTTCTATCACTTTGATTCCCTAAAATCATACTTAGATCATCAAGAGAAGTCAAATAATCCTTCAGTATTCTTTCCGAGAGAGACTTATTTGATAGAATTGACGAAAGTGTTGCATTGCTAACCCAACTATGGTCTTTGACAATGTACACCACAAAGACAACGGGATTTCTTATCATATGATGAATGATGGTGGATGTATTCACCTGAATCACAATAAGTGTCACGCCCCGAACCCCATCGAGCCTGCGACATCCCCTACTCCAGTCGAATAGTTGCGACGTCCCAGGAACGTCGCCGACCCAACCCAAACATCAGAGCCACATGCGGAAGCGGATATAAAAACCCCGGACAAAAAGATGACGATAACGGGGTAGAACACCACAACAATCAAACAACAACATCTTCATACAGCACCAAACAAACAAACATTATATTACGGACATAATTAAAAAACTAGCATCCGAAATCACCGTTATAACAAAAAGATCAGGGTCTGGTTAACTTAACTTCCCTATAGGTCAATCCGATTTACACAACCCCTAAAATACCCTAGGGAAAAACCTAAGGGTCGCCTCCTTCCTTCATATTCCCACTTCGCTTGGTTCGATCCTTCGGAAGACCTCTTAGGCATCGCCTGCAATTCCACCAGGCACCAAAAGCAGTTCCTCGAACTTCCAAAAAGAAGAGGCGAACTTCCCGGGTTTACGGCTGGGGGTCTGAAATTGTGGATTATACAACTATGAGACGAATCTCAATAAGTGTACAACCCCAAACCCCACGTAGGCACTCACGTACCGCCAGACAGATCACGCATCTCACACAACGATCAATCAATCTAACAATCACACATGAACCTACCTGGAATTCCTCATGCACGTCCCTGCACGTTAGTCAACCACACAGCCAGTATGCCACAAAAATACATCACAGCCGCGCGTGTGCCCCGATTATAGAGCAAAACCCACTTGGGCACGTCCCATACCATGCCTAGCAGTTTTTACCCCATAATCGAGCATCACACCACGCGATACAAACACGCTCGCACACCAACTCACACCACGCGTCACTTTCTCAAACCTCGCACCTCAAGCCAATTCCCGTTCATTCTCAACTTTTCCACCACTACCGCGCCCGCGTAAAACGCATCAGGCCAATGGTCTTCTGACCTCGTCAGGCATCGTCACCCCGTCGGGCCGGGCATCGTCACCTCGTCAGGGACGGCATCGTCCCGCGTAAACGTACACGCCTCAGGACGGAATCCTACACACACTTTCCTTCTACCGCGCCAGCGTAAAACGCATTAGGCCAACGGTCTTCTGACCACGTCAGGCATCGACACCTCGTCAGGCCGGGCATCGTCACCTTGTCAGGGACGGCATCGTCCCGCGTAACGTACGCGCCTCAGGACGGACCTTTTCAACCAAACCACATTTCCATATCCTCGTTCCACTCAAACCACACTTACGCACGACCAGCAACCACATGACCCAACACAATTCCACATTGCACGCACAATTCACAAGTCACATACACTTCGCAAATATACATTCTCACCACGCAAGCACACCACACAATCATACACATATAACACGCGATCCCAAAGCACAATCACACATTCTTGGCACGCGAACATATTGCGCAATCGCACTGCCACACCATCACACCTCACGACCACACACATGACATATACGACCACACGTACACAACCCGAAACACAATCCCAAATCAGCCAACTACCACAAATCGCACAATCACGCACAAATTTCCATTCAAGGCACAATCCCAATAATTAATCGCACAAATTAATTCCAATCAAACCTCAACATCACAGCCCTAATCCAAGCTCCCTAAACCTCAAAATTCTTCGCCTAATCAGTCCGCAACCACCAAATAATCAGTCACTCAAATCAGTCCCGAACAGCCCCTAAAACAGTCACAAAATCGCCTAAACCGGGTCCAAACTGGGCAGTTGTGCAGTGACAGAAATCTATTTGAAATAAATAGTAAACCAACTTCAAAAATTATGAAATTTGAATATATTGTACAAAACATCTCAATGAACATTTTCCGTGAAGAACTCGAAACCCAGTTCTAACCGTAAACACCTCGTTTTAACACTCAAAGTCAGATGAAATCCGGTTCGCTCAGACAGCCCCTCAGGCCATCAAAATACAACTCATTCGGTACCCAAATCATTTTGGAAAATCTTGAAATTTTTATATGTTATATCCACAAATGTCCCCAACAATTTCCGTGAAGGAAGTATTTTGAAAATAGGCCTGGAAAAATTTATAAAAATTCGAACAGACCCGAAGGTCGGGTGAACAGTAAATCGGGGCAGTTTTATTTCGGTCCAAAGATGGACTTCCGAATGGAATCAAATGATTTCCAAAAATTTCCAAATTAAAATATGTTATACTTCAAGATGTTGGGAACAACTTTCATGAAGAAACCTTCCTGAAATTCGGTCCACACAAGTCACAGTAAAAATAATAAAAACCAGCGATGCAGCAGCAACCTAACTGGAAATCAACCAACACACACCACCGAGCAAACCAGCCACTAAACTCACCATAAACCGAGCCCTAAACAAGCCTAACAATACCCGAGGTCCTAGGCGACATTTGGGGAGGTCACTTACCTAAGAAAGGCGAGACGAACGGGCTGGATGGGTGGAACAGCAGCAGCAGCAATGGGAGGAAATGGCTAAGGAAGAGAATGAAGGAAGAAAGGAGGAGGAGGAAAACGTGGGGAAGGGGCTGCTGTGGGTGGTCTGGCCGAATGGGGCTGGGAGGAGAGAGAGAGAGAGAGAGAGAGAGAGAGAGAGAGTCAGCTGGTCAAATATGACAGCCCCAAGTGCCACGTGTCGCGATCCTACGCACTTTGACCATTTTACCTTTGATCCGACGGTCTAGGTTTAACCCAATCCAATAATTGAGGGGCAAAATTGTCCAAGGCCCAATAATGCAGCTGAAAAAACCAATAATAATAATCCCAAATAATTTCCCAAAATTCGGAACTGAAACGGGCCCAGGGGCAAAATGGTCATTTTTCCGGTCCCGGGGCGAAATTCCAATTTTCACACATACGGGTTCCATATGGGTGTGGCCAACATAATATGGCGTCGGAATCGTGAAAATAGCTTCTTAAGCCCTCGAAAATCGACTGCAAAGTCGTGGGAATAAAATATTATTATTTTTCACTTCCGAGCCAAAATTCAAATTTTTGACCGAAACAACTCTAAATGCATGTGGCCACCCCAAAATGACACTAGCCTCGAAAAATAACCTCAAACGACCTCAAAATCCAACATCGGTGTCCACAGGGGCAAAACCGTAATTTTTCCGGCTCCAGACCGAAATCCATTTTTTTGCAGAAATGGGTAGCCCCAAGGTTGGCCAAGCCAAAAACGTCATCGGCTGCTCAAAATTGTCACTTTCAAAATTCTCGATTCCCGGGCCCGAATTCCAAGAAATGACTAAGATCGAACAATCGCGACTTTAGCTTATCTCTGGCTAACGGGTGGCTCATTGGGATTACGCGCTCTCGACCCGTGATCGACACTAAGTCAAATCACGTTTAAGTTCACTCTACCCGGGACGACCTCGGTTGTCATATAATTGCGAGGGTCTGTCACTAGTGCCCTTCGGACACGATCAATCAAATAGACCGGTCTCGGTTGGCTCAAAACATTCCCTCGTCAATCCATATGGTTGTAGATCGAACCCAGGTCGAGTTCTTTGGTCGTGCGAACTCAATCCCGTAATGGCCTTACCCCTAAGGTTAGCATCCCGAAAATGCGCGGGTCCCGGGTGAGATCTCACTATAAGTGCATTGGCCAAAATATTCATTTCTTAAATCCCGGGAAAAAGGATCGAAAATTCAGACTGTTACAATTCTTCCCCCCTAATAAAAATTTCGTCCTCGAAATTTACAACTATACCGGCTATCCAAACAGGTGGGGGTGATGACGTCTCATTATTCTTTTCTCCCAAATGGTATCTTCTGTCCCGTAAGAATCTCAAATATCTTTGACCAATGGGACCGTCTTATACCTTAAAACCCGTTCCTTCCCATTTGCCCCTAAAATCCAATATACATATTCCCAATATATTCTCTTACGGTCCGTAAAATCCTTCCAAACTGGCCATCCAATAAAATCTCTTACTTAAATCCTGTCAACAGCGCAACTATCGAGATTCCTTCTCGACTCCTTACAATCTCAAATCTAAGGTGTCCAACCAGACTAAACTGAATCACCCTACTGCTGCAATCCATTACAGCATTCTGTTTAACTAACCAATTCAAGCCTACAATCAAACCGAAATCACACATAACTAACAAAGCCAAATCTATTCCGCTTTCTACACCACCAAACACCACTTCACAATCTGAACATTCCAACATGCATATCTTATTCATCATATTTCCAATCCTCTCTAACACTCTGAGGACTCTTTCCATACGTGGATCTTCCGCAAGTCTAACATCAGCTCTGGGGTCCACTGCAACTCCAACATCGACTCCCGAGTTTTCTACCACTCTAGCACCCATATCAATGTCCTCTACGGCTCTAGCTCGAGCACGACCTCTACCTCTTGTTCCTCTTCCTACACCCCTTCTTGGGACCCTTCCTACTCCTCTTCCTTCGCTGCTCATTGAATCAGCTTCCTACTATTCTCCTTCCTGCTATAAGTCCACACGGGTATCAGAGGTCTAGACCAACTACACTAGTCCAAGCCCTAAGCACAGAACTCGACAACTAGCATTCAACAACCAACAAACCACCATCAAACCGATCACCCAACATCAAATCAACACTACCAAGCACTCAACGGGATTCTCGTACTCACCTCAAGTCCCGCCGCACCTTCGTCTCAACCATCATTACAACCACAACAACCCACTCAGCAATCACAGGCGCGTACTCATAGAGCATGCACAAACAACATAAACACGCATCTACAAAGGGCTCCCTAACTGGCTACCCTGAAGTCGTCGCTCGTTATCACTCCAGGTCTCGACCTTACCGATATCGAGCAAACCTTGCTCTGATACCAATTCAAAACGGGGATGTCATGCCCCGAACCCCATCGAGCCCGCGACATCCCCTACTCCGGCCGAATAGTTGCGACGTCCTAAGAACGTCGCCGATCCAACCCAAACATCAGAGCCACATGCGGAAGCGGATATAAAAACCCCGGACAAAAAGATGACGACAACGGGGTAGAACACCACAACAATCAAACAACAACATCTTCATACAGCACCAAACAAACAAACATTATATTACAGACATAATTAAAAAACTAGCATCCGAAATCACCGTTATAGCAAGAGTTCAGGGTTTGGTTATCTTAACTTCCCTATGGGTCAACCCGATTTACACAACCCCTAAAATACCCTAGGGAAAAACCTAAGGGTCGCCTCCTTCCTTCATATTCCCACTTCGCTTGGTTCGATTCTTCGGAAGACCTCTTAGGCATCGCCTGCAATTCCACCGGGCACCAAAAGCGGTTCCTCGAACTTCCAAAAAGAAGAGGCGAACTTCCCGGGTTTACGGCTGGGGGTCTGAAATTGTGGATTATACAACTATGAGACGAATCTCAATAAGTGTACAACCCATTTCTATTTCAGAAATAAAAGTAGAAAATTTTTACTTCTAATTTATGTTCCAAACCCATTTCTGTAGTAGAAATTTGTTCCAAAAATAGAAAAATGAAATTGCGTTACTCTGCGGATTTCTGTTTCAAACTTGTTCCTGGGAACAGAAAAATAGAAAAACAGAAAAACAGAATGGTTATCATGCACGCACCTATAATTGATCTTACATTGGAAAGTCAATAATTTCATTGTAAGTTACTAATCAGACTGGTAAGTTTTTGTTTTCAAAAGTAAATTTCTATAGAAAAGAATAGATTAGTTTCATTCTACTTAAACGTGGTATGGTTATTATACTGCTTATAACTTTCTACCTTTTAAGTGGACCTATAGTAGAAAGAAATTAATTTTTACAGGTTATTACTGTTTTTATTGCTAAACTTTTGTTTTGAGTGGTGAATTTCTAAAATTATCGGTAACTTACCATTTCATGTGATGTACAGAAGTTAATGACATTGTTAGTGAATAACATCGACGTATCTGTTGAACATTACCAACAACATTACAGAATTACCAACACCAAAATTTTTTCCCTTTTTTGCCCAACCAAAGTGATATAAGTGAATTGCCTCATAAGGACACTAGTGTGAAATGATTGTGGTTAGAGAGAGTGTTAATGTCCAAAATCATCCTCTTGAAATCTCTCTGCGATACAGGTAAATGGATAAAAGAACATCCTGCGTCTCCACTTCAAAGTGAAGATATACAACTTCAGTCACAATGAGACATAGATTATCATTTAAGGACAATTAAGCCGACCAACGCGAAGCATCAATAGGCTTCCCAGAGGGAAATGATTCTAATTTCAAAACTCTGATGAGATAACCGAAAGAAAAATACAGAAAATTTGAAGTTCGAAGTGTATAAAAGCACAGCAGATGGGGTAACTCCTACAAAAATTATCAGAAGGTGACTGAATCTCAAAGGCACAGGATTTCACCACTCAAAAGCACTTATTAGCAAGAGATTTGACACAAACACAGTTATATTTACATATGCGACCCATTTGTAGAGTGTCCTCATAGCCAGTTCTGATCCAAGCCAAAAAGCTTCAACAAAATTGCGTCTTCAGATTTGACCAAGCAGTGGTCGATCTAGACATTCTTTCCTCAGCTATTCTCTTCTTTTCCTCGGCCTGCACTACTTTCTTCTCTTGATCCTTGTACCCAGATTTCGCTTCTTCCGAATCGACCATCAAAATCTCCCAGTCCGAAATGAGCTTTTCTCTTCTGGACTTCACTTCGTCGAGTTTTTTATTGAACTCTTCCTCCTCTTTGGTCAGGTCACCCAAAAAATGCTTATACAAGATGTGAGTGTTGTGATTCTTCTTCATTGTCGCCAACATTTGATCCTTAAGCAATTTCTGCAACTCGAATTCGGCATTGTCCTGCTCAAAGGTCAAAAAGTCGGAAGTGAACTCATCGAAGTTGGCCCAAAAGGCTTTGACTGATTTTTGCTGGTCCAGTGATAACCCGCTTCTGGCTATGCTTAACGTCGACATTGCTTCAGCCAATCTGTCTTTTACATTTAGCTTGAAGTTATCAGAAAGGCACTCCTTCAAAGACAGCTTAGCCTTCTCTACTTCTTCCAAGGTTGGAGCCTCAGAAGTCGAAAGAGCACCTTCTTGATTGCTCGTGTTCAACACTCCTCTGGCAGGATAACTCTGAGCAGCGTTAATAGTTTCCTCAAGATTTGTGAAATACGTGTCGAATGTGTCTGTTGGTGTCGCCCGAGGAACATTTGCAGGAGGTTCAGCCAACTGAGTAATTTCAGCTGAGGGTTGGGGGGCCAAAATCTCAGCTACAACCATCAAAGTGTTGTTCACTAAATACCCGCAACAGCTGTCATGGACTTGGCACAATGGAATGAAGGATGTGAAGCCCCAGTCACTCTCTCTTGAGGTGAAAATATGTTCCGTCTCTGCATTTTGTTAAGATGGGACTTCAGTAAAATGGGGTAACAGGTGAAAAGATCTCATGTTTCACTGGGAAAATTCCAAATAAGGGTATGAAATACTATCATTTTCTCAAATAAGAGACTAAAGTAGACTTTGTATCAAATAAGGGCTTGAAATAGCATGTCAGTCTCAAATAAAGGCCTACAGTGGCCATGGTAGTTTCAAATAAGGGTTTGACCTCGCCGGTCACCGGCCGATCAAGGGCATTTTCGTCCAAAGATAATTTTAATTTTAAATTATTTTTTCTTTTTCCTTTCTATGGTTTTCTCTTTCTACTATGCTGGTCGGTGGCTAGCGAACAGTGAAGCCCGAAAAGGGCTGGGCGAGGATTGCCCTCAACGATCTGGCGAGGGCCACCCTAGTCAGCAACAGGCAAGGTTCTTGCCAGCCACTTCTCGACCAGTCGAAGGCAACCCTTGCCTAGCCCTTTTTGGGCTTTGCCGATGGCCGGCTGTTGGAACCAGCCACCGGCGAAAAAGAAAAAACCAGAAAAAGGAAAAAAAATTCAAAAAATGTAATAGGATGAAAATGCTCTTACTATTCGGAAAGTCAGACCATTATTTAAAACAGACATAGCCACTTTATGCCCTTATTTGAGATAGGATCCACTTCAGACCCTTATTTGAAAAAATGAGGGCACTTTCGGCCCTTATTTAAAATTATCCCCTGTTTCACTGCATTAGGTTCAATGATGAAAAGATTATTGCGTTTCGGGTCAGTAACATGGAACACCAGAGCCACAAGAACGAAGTTAAAGCATATATTTAGAAAGCATTGCAACAACAAGGCCTAAACATCCTCTCTTAGTTTGCTTCATCAGAAACTCGGTCTGGTCTGCTGAAATGAAAAAAATCCAAATTACGGCAACGCTTCTGTGTCCATTTCATATAGTACCTAAAATCCTGCAATTTGTTCCACAAACAGTATTGAGGTGGTGAATCTCCACTCCTTCCAATACTTCTGAATGTCCAAATGTTCACGCGTTCCTTCTACTCTTCGGTAGCCAAGTATTCACATTGTCATTTCAGATGCTTTGAAGTGCGTAACAGCACACGTTCAATTGGGATTGGCACAAAATTATGTACACAGAAGAAACTTCATCGCATCTATAAAGTGGGAACCTCCACAAACAGATATGCCATGACCTATGGACTAATTTCTCACTTTAATTCCCTCATACTTAGCACAACAAGTGAAGTCAAACCATCCTTCAATGTTCTTTCTGAAAAAGACTTATTGATAGAATTGACAAAGTACTGCATAGCTAACCCAACTATGGTCTTTGCCAGTGTACACCACAAACACAATCGAATACTTCAATTGATGAATGATGGTGGATATATTGCACATGAATCACAATTTCGTAAGATATTAGCACAAGCGGATGTCTCCGGTTATGAATCAAATTTGCCATCATGAGTGCAGACTTTATCAATATGAATACCATCAATTGGGGACATATATGTGCCTAAATTCATCCCAGACATGAAAGAGGACTTCAGCAGCAAATAAAGAAGGTTTCTCATCCCTCCTCAAATGCCGTATCTCAAAATCAGATTCCAACAGCAGACTGAAAGAACCAGACATACTCAGAGTTGCAATCAACATACCCTTAATACAAGAATTGCCATAATCGTTCTGATTGACCAGAATCAATTTGAAATGGGCGTTTCTGCTCCACCCATATGGTAGCCTCGTGGAGTCCGCAACGTCCAAGTATATCGACAGATGCTCCGTATTGTTCCCCTTGGGGAAGATGAGTATTCGCCTGCTCAACCATACCATACAAGAGAACTCAGAATTCTTAGGAAATTCAACTAGGAAACAAAAAAGACAAGAACAAGCCACAATTCGATCATTACGCTCGTCGAAAACGGAATTCAACGATTACCAGGTATTGTCACCGAGCATGAACACTTCAGAGTAGTACTTCTTTTGAGTCAAGCTAGTGAAGTTGGTGATCTTCCATGTGTATTTCCATGAAGTGGGATTTTGCTCTCCCATCGCCAGCTTCGCCATAATCCAATCAGTTGGAAAAATCAGTCTTTAGAATGAAGAAAAACTCAATGGTTCCCAAAAATTCGAATGAAAAAATCGCATATATCATCGTTCTTTAACAGCAAAACCAAAACAAACACACGCTCCATTTCTGATGGGTCAAGAAGAGAACACAAAAAGTGCACGATCTTCAACGTTAAAGAATCGATTGAAATTGCATTTAGACAGGGCAAGATTCAAGAACATGGGACTTGAAACAGCGAAAAAAGAAATGAACATCAACCTCTCCCTCGAAACGAGGAACGAGCTCCGACACAGAAGAGAGTGGTGGGACAACTACATGTTGAACTTGGGTAGTGTTTCGGGGAGGCAGAGAAGAGAAGCCCCAACGAAAAAAGCAACCTCGTCTTGCACTCATTGAGTCGTGGGCATCTGAGAACAAGAAAGATTGCCTCACAAAACCATCAATCACTAATTAGACTAGAGCTCATCAATAATCGCCAAAATAAACAAACAAAATAGATAAAAACAAGGTACAGATTTCTTGTTGCTTTTGTCATATTGGTAATGGAATAAGTCTTCTTATGGATTTTCTTTTCATTAAAATGGCCAATCAATGGCAGTATTCAATAATAAGGGTGTGCAAAAGAATCGGAAACCGCCTGGACCGCCCGAAACCAGACCGGACCGGACTGGAACCGGCGGTTCTCGTCGGACTAGTCCGGTTTCTGGTTCCAATTTACTAGAACCGGTGAGTACCGGTCCGATTTCCGATTCTAGGCGTGGAACTGCCTATCCGCCCACCCGGACAAGACCGGCAATACATATCTAATTTTTAAGAAAAATTTTCAACCAAAAAAAAAATGAAAATATTTAAGAAAAATGAAAACCCTAAAATCCTTAATCTAAAACTTAACGCTGATCAATTAAGTGTTCGTTTCATCTCACTTTCACTTTATTTGAGTCGTCTCTCTATATTTCATTCATGGTCTTGACTCTTAAGCTCATCACTCATTGACTTATAGCCTCGATTCTCAAGTCCTATCAATTCATGGTCGCGCCTCCAGCCGTTCATTGCCTCTCTCTCTCTCGCTTTCGGTCACCTCCATTTGCGCGAAGCTTAATGGGACCGGTTTCATGGACCCACCCGGGAATTGGACCGGACCAGCAGTCCGGTTCTCGGGTGGATCCATGGAATCAATGGACGGTTCTCGATTTTCGAAACCGGTCCTTAGTGGGCGGTTCTCGGTTTCATAGTGGGAACTGCCCACCCAGACCATACTCACCCTAGTATTCAATGTCTTAGACATTAGAATATGTAGTTAATGCATTATTTCTTCGGTAGGAATTCGCGAACCCATTATGAAAACATTCCCAAAGCTTCTTTCCAAACCTTTTTCTGTTGGCCTCTTCTGGTTTTCTAATTCCTGATGTGAAAGCAATGCCTTTATTTTGTCATTATCGCTCTAGATATATGCGATGCGAACTCTCTAGAAATTGCACTAATATATGTTTTATTCATCGTCAATTGCGACCCACATCCTAGTTTTTCCAAAGCAATTGGTAACATCGTTGACATCGAAACTCCATGAATAGTTTGATGAACCAAATTGTCTGGTGAAGTTTCACACCTTGACATATTTTTATAGCTTGGTAATTCACCCAACAAATTCATTCCATGTTTTATCATCATAATCTCTCTCTCCTGATGACAGTTGACCGGCAGGAACATTTTCATACACTTTCCAGAATGGCTTCGGGGCGGTTTGGCTGCTTCGACGAGTTCAAATTCGAAGTCGTTGTCGGATGATCAAGTCTCTTTCATGGCAGGGCCTTTACTTCAGTAATTGGAATAAGTCCTTCCCAGAAATGCAAGCAAAAACATCAGGAACAGAAAGGGGAAGACTTCTTGCTCTGAAAACAGCAAATAGTTTGAGAAGATGAACATGCGTTTCATAGATACGGATTCGATGTTGCACATCCTCACTACTCACAACCAAAACATAAATTGAATATGGTAGTTTGGAGACAGGCAAAGTACTGACCAGCGATAGGTCCTACGAGACAGAAGTCACAGAACTACTCGATCCTCATGCATCGATGGAACAACAGCAAGGAAAGCACATTTATCAGAGCAAACTTCCAAGTTCCGAGAGCGAAAACCCTAATGACCGCACAATCCGCATAAAAAATCATCACCAGCCGACTCTCTCTGTTTTTTTTGGTCCAAAAATAGACTGACCACGTTTGGAAAACATGGGATACAAGAAACAAGACCGTTTCAACAATGGTTTCGCCTGAACACTTGCATACATAAGCCAAGCAACCAATTGCCACAGTTACCAGCAACAAGGATTTAGCAAAACTGAGCCTTCAGATTCGACCAAGCAGTGGTCGATATCTCGACATTCTTTCCTCGGCAATTCTCTTCTTCACTTCTTTGTCCTCATGAGCTTTGTTCCTGGATTTCGCTTCCTCCTACTCGACCATCAAAATCTTCCAATTACGGGATGAGCTTTTCTCTCCTAAACTTCACTTCCTACAATTTCATGTTGAGCGCTTCCTCTTTCTCGGCGAGGTCATCCAACATTCACTTATGTGAGATATGAGTCTCGAGGCTCTTCATTTTGCAGAGAACGTCGTCCTTCCTTAGTCTCTCCAGCTCGGATTCGGCATTGGCCTGCTCGAAGGCTAAAAGGTCTGAAATGAAATCGTTGATCGAAACTTGTGGATTGCTTTATTCAAGTATCTTTAAGCTGAATAAAACTTGCCAGAACACATAACAGGAGAGAGACACATGAAATTTTCACTAAAGGATCTCGTTAAAGAGTGACCACGAAATATTTTCGATTTTCAATATACCAACAACACATAACTGGAGAGAGACGATGCATAGAAAATAAACAATTATTCTTCACTTGGGTGTTTTCAAAAATGCGAAGGGGCGCTTGTTTACAAAATTCTTCACAATATGCAAACATCGATACATAAATTTAAATATAATTTTTTTGAAATTTGAATAATTATTTATTTTTTACGAAAAATTAAAAGAGGACCCTTTGTTTTTATTAAGTCAAGACAAATGGGAAAACTTAATATTTCTCCATCGGTTGTGTTTACCAACATGGTATTAAAGCTGATGGGATTTTCATAAAAACCAGGTCAAAACTTCATTTGCATGTAAAAACCAAAACTCTTACCACCACCTTGGTCACATCTAAGGTGTCACGCTAAATCCATACTGAATTCAAGGATCCTTTATGAAATAAAGGACGGAGCATTTAACCAAAATAATTTATTGTACAAATATATTGACTAAATAAAACATTTCATAAATGAATTTTATGGTCCGAAATACCATAATTTTTCCAAACTGGAAATTCTTAACGCTCGGTCTAATAAACTTTAGGGTTAATACCATGAAAAACCCCAAACTGGTATACCTGTAATAATTTTATCCCAAACTAATTTTTTGACCACGAAAAATCCCAAATTAGTACATCTGTGACAAATTTACTCCAAACTAATTTTTTGACCACCAAAAACCCTAAACTGGTACATTTGTGACAAATTTACCCTCCATTAGTTTTCATTAAATTGAATTAATACCACAAAATATCATAAACTGGTATGCCTGTGATAAATAGAGGGTAAAATATAAAATTGGTACATCCGTCAATTGCCACGTGTCATTTAACAAAGCAATTTGATAGTAAAATTTATCGGAAATAAATTGAGCGTAAATTTATCACAAGTGTACCAATTTGGGGTTCTTGGCGGTCAAAAAATTAGTTTGGGATAAAATTGTCACAGGCATACCAGTTTGGGCTTTTTCGCGATATTAACCCTAAACTTTATACGAATAAGATAATGAAATATTTAGCCACCCCAATTACACTATCTTCGTGTGAAGTCGCCTACTTCTATTTATGTCTCGAGACATGCAAAGCTTGTAAAAGGGGTGAGCAAAACCACGGCTTAGCAATGTCGATCCCTACTATCCATCGAATCAAGTAATCAACAATGTTAATTTTAAAATCAAATATGCATCCATATATATGTATCAAAACTATAGCATTCATCACAGTTTCCCCATATAACAAGCATAATGTGTATATTCTCATAATCAACAAATCAAAAGTTATGCAACAAAATCTAATGTCTATATCAAACTCGATTGCTCATGTCAAGCAAAACCCTATGGTCATGCTTCGTCAGATGACAAGACCTGACAATCATACTGGATGTGCTTAAGCCCCGAAAATCATATCAATTGTGATTAAATCCCGAAAATCACATTGGTTGTGGTTAAGGCCCCAAACAAAACCTGATTATACACATGTACACATAGGTTGATAACAAGCATCTAATCCAAACCACAATACATCATGCTGGTGGATATGTATTTCATCAATAAACAACATTTCATTTTCAAAATATTTCCAAAAAATATTAACGTCAAGCTAAAAATTGTCAAATTTCTGATCCAATTGACCCGTACAATGTTTCCAACACCTGGTGCCAATTGTTGAATCAGTTTGTGAGATTTTGTGGGATCGCTGCCATTCTAAAAACTTAAACTTTTAGATGATTGTGTGATTTAATATTTAAATATTGCGTTAATATTGTGAAAAACCCTAAACTGGTACACCTATGATAGATTTACCAAAAACTAATTTTTTGACCACAAAAAACCCCAAACCGGCACACTTGTGATAGATTTACCCCAAATTAATTTTTTGACTATCAAAAACCCCAAATTGGTACACTTGTGACACATTTACCCTCCGTTAAATTGGATCAATACCACGAAAAATTACAAACGGGTAATTCTGTGACAAATAGAGGGGTAAAGCCCTAAACTGATACATATGTCAACTGCTACGTGTCAACCAACTCAGCAATTTAGCAATAAAATTTAATGGAAACTAATGGAGGATAAATTTATCACAGGTGTACCCGTTTGGAATTTTTGGTGATCAACAAATTAGTTTTGGGTAAATTTATCACAAGTGTTTTAG